GGAAACAGGTACCTCATCCCTTTGCTTGAGAAATATTGGGAATATTTATGAGATGATTGGTCAACCATCAGATACGCTCTTTTGAAAATAAAACCCAAGACTTGCCTTTTTTAGAAATCAGCTGCTGCTTTCTATAGTTTCTGCTCAATCACCAGAAGCCTGAAAATTCCCCTGCATCCCCACCAAAAAGAAGTTACCTCCCACTGATGCAAAAATCACTGCAAGCATATAGTACGTAACATGCATGGAAAGTACATTTGCTTTACAGAGGAAAAAAAATTAAACTATGATTATCTGCTTCCTTAATAAGGTAAATAAAAATTACCAAACTAATTTTGCCAATAAAAGATTAATATTACTTTGCATAAGTCATGCTGTAGCACTGCTGAATATGTGATGGAGAAGGTTTAGGTCTCCTAGCTTCTGACTGCTTAGCTTTCATAGCCAAATTACCTTGCTTTTCAAGCATGGGTGTTCCCACCTCCCTACATCTCCAGTTCCTTAAGGAAAGGGGGAAAACAATGAAAGGACAGGAAAAAAAAAAAAAAAAAAAAAAAAAAAAAAAAAAATTAGGAAAAGAATAATAGTTTCAGTTCCCCCACCTCTACCTGAGGGCTGGGCTACGTGCTAAGGAAGGTCCCTACAGTTATGGTTTCAAGTCCCTAACATTCTCAGCAATGATGAAACAGTCAGCCCTCCTTTATCCTACTGACAGGAAGGAGAGCAGAGGGAAACTAAGAGGACCTGCTGAGAAGCTAGAAAATTCATGATCTTAGTAGGTCAGTGGCTGGCACTGGAGCGGCCCTGGCTCAGAGCTGGGAGATGAGGGATGGTCCCCTCAAGGTACCTGGAAAGGTAACCTTAAGGGAACAGGGAAGTGATCTCTCTACTGGAACAAGTTGCATCTGCTCTACACTGTCTCCCAAGCTTCAGACACCCCTTCCTGACCTTGCTTTTGCTGTTCCCACACCTTTCCTCTAAGCAAAGCTCAGGAAGTCCCTACTGTTATCAAACCACATCTGCCTACACTGGCTTTAGCTGTAGCACTGACTGAAAGCCCGGCTTGCACATTTGCTTCTCCACCTCCGCATTGTAAGAAGGTCTCTATTCCTTTTCCTGATCTGGTCCCTGAAAACCTATGAGGCACAGGGCTGACTCTTTCC